ATCTTGAAGGAATTTATGATTTCCAAGAGCGTCTCAAAGCGGAGAAGGATGAGATTGAAAAATCAGTCAGTATTCATCTACAAAGTAGCATAACATATAAAGTACGTTCGCGGAGCGTGTGCTATTAGCGCTGTTACTCATTCTATCCTTATTTTACATCTAATGAATGATAAAGATGGAATGATGCATAGCTCTAATAGTACGCTCCACGAATGTATGCACCTCTAATGTGACAAAACGTTATATACAATCACTTTTTGTCAACAGCTGTCAATGGCATCAACCACTGCTCCTTCCAAGGTAAAAGCAGTAGTTGAGAATGTAGAATGTGTCAGTTGTGAAGTCAAGCAGTTACAAAAAACTTGTTTAGATCTGAGTAAGATGATTGAGGAGACGTTTAGTGAAAACGACAAAAATTTAGAGCTACAAGAAGTTATTGACAAGATAGGGCAGCTTGACAAATCGTTATCCTATTTATTCTTTATAAGATATATAGAAAATATTAGGTAATAAACTGTCAAAGAATATTACATCCGTAGAGTGTTTTATGATTTACTATATATATATATATATATATATATATATTAAATAGTTATAACATTTTTATTCAGTGATGAGATAGAGACATTTTTGTTATCTGGTGATGATCAGTCTGTAATAATTCTATATACGAGCTTGACAAACATCAGTTGCCAATTGCAAACATCTGTGTGTCATCACCTAGTCAGTTATGTCCATGAGACCTTACACTTTTGGCATAATCTAATCAAGGAAAAATTATCAAAGTATGTTTTCTATCTTTCACATATATCCTAATTTCTTAGTTACTATATACTTTCCCAACATGTAATATTTACAGGGAGTACAATGATTTATTGAAGACGTTGAAATGGCCTTTTTGTGGAACCAATGCTACTTTATTGAACGTACCTTTGCTAGAGACAATGACAAGATTTAAGATACTCATTGAATATCTCTTTCATCTGCAGTTACCGTATCCTTGTAATACACAATTTAATTGTTTTAGATTTCATTGAAAAGTGAATTGGTGAGATTATCTGTATTGTCCTTAATGTACTTAGAGAAGAAATGATAAAACCTGTAGTAACATCTGTGCTGTTAACAGACTTTGCACCAGTTAGTTTGCCAATCGCCCTTTTAGTACGTCCTCTCCGACAAAGATTCATTTATCATTTCACAGGAGCTAAATTGACAAACCGTCAAGATAAGCCAGAATGGTTCTTTACACAGATTTTAACATGGATCAAAGACCATGTTCAGTGGGTACAAAAGAACATTCAACCTGTAGCGGATTCTGTAGGTTTTGGACACTTAGATATTAAGGTGTGATATAATTAATTGTATTCTGATATTGATTATTACAATCATATTTCTGGGCACTAATTACAGTGTATTAATAGGCTGAATTTATGCGCGCTCTAGTTCAGTTAGCCGTTGAGAAACTTCATTCCGAATTGCCCTTAGTGCAGTATGATGACACTCTATTTGCGCATTTGGTAGACGAAGCTTTAGGATTTGAAAGAGAACTACGAGAGACTCTGTTATATCCGCAATCTCAGCCAGCTACCATTTTCGTTCTTACGCAAGCCCATATTTTTGTAAAATGGATAAATATGGAGAAGAAATGTGAGTGCATGAAGAAGCAATTTCGTACTTTGTGCACGCAATCGTGCACTCAAATTATGTGTGTGTGTGTGTGTGTGTGTGTGTGTGTGTATATGTATTATATATATTTGTGCTGTTTAGACGCGACTGAAAAAATGGATGCAATATTAAGTTCGAATACAGCGTGGGAAAGACTGACGGGTCCTGATATAGATGACATGAAAGTCACTGAATGCGCAGATGCCTTTCTCACACTGCTCACCACGATTTCTGATAGATATAAACATTTGCCACAGCCTGGACATAGGTAAATCATACGAGATCGTTGTAAATAAGAGACGATAGTACTGACGATTGTTTATATTGATATTGTTGAAGATTACAGTTTCTCGACTTGCAATTAGAATTGGTTGACGATTGGCGAGTACGATTGTTACAATTGCTACATGAAAATTATGAAGATCCATTAACGTCGCTTATGCCATATATTCTCAATACATTACATTATGTCGCAACCGTTTTGGAAGAATGGGGCGTGACTGTTGTATGTATATCTTCACCTACAATCACACAAAAAAAAATGACATTACTTATCACGATCTTACATTTGTGTGTAGCACTTCTTGCAGCTGCATTTCTTCAAGAAGCAATTCGAAGCTGTGGAAAATGCTATTGACAGAGGCAGCGACGTTAACGAGAACACCGGAGAAATAGAGGGAACTGTATTTGACGAAGCTGTAGTTCTCTTACGACGATTAGAGAAGCAACTGATAAATGAAATCAGCGATTCAGTTGCTTTAGATGTAAAGGCAAAAAGTAGAGCTTACAGGACGGATAAGTAAGAACTTTTACTCACCGTTCACTATTACGATTATTATTTCATTCACATTACATTTAAAAAGTGCTTTTTATTATTCCAAGATGGTTTGCGATGCAGTCTTCAAAAGAAGTTGCTTCATTATCAGTAACACCGAGTGGTTGTCCCATGTTCCAAGAACTAGCTACGCGTCTTCATACATTGCACAGTGTTCTTGCATTGCCGTTGTTTAATCAAGCTTGGAAGAATTTAGCCGCTCAATTTGATCAAGTATGCAAAATAAAAATCAAAGGAAATAGATTGCTATTCACCTATAGTAATTTGTGTCTTCTTCTCAAATCCTTCTTTTCGCAGTTTCTCTTCGAAGAAGTTGTACTTGTAAATCATTTCAATAGCGGCGGTGCCGAACAATTACAATACGATATTTTGAGGAACTTATTTCCATTATTTGGTTTGTACATTGACAAACCAGAATCGTACTTTCCTTTGTAAGTCTCTAAAATTATTAAAGCTATATTCACTTAGTAGTTAAAACAGATGCCATGATTCAGTTATTTTGATGTTCCAGAATCAAGGAAGCATGTATACTTTTAAATGTCTTGACGGGTTCAGTAATATTGCTTGAAGAAGCGCTAAATAATAATGACAAAAATGCATCGACAGAGATCTTAGCGGATGTTGGAGTACACAAAATGCCTACTAAACTTGCTCTAAAAGTAATAGCGACAAGGACAGACATTATCCATATATAAGAGATCTTTCTCTTGAATATATTCTATAAAAATGAAATTTATTTTAATAGATTTTTCGCGCTTTCCGTTAAATTAGATATACTTTTCTATTCTTTCCCATTATTATATTTAATAATGTCCAGTCATTTTGCGCTGCTCTGTAAATAGCGTCTGAAGCGTTCTTAACATAGTAGTGTTATTCCACCATTGTCAGCGCCTAATAATAATAATCGATTGAGAGGAAGGACAGCCATGGCAGTAAGAATGCCTTTAAAAGCGTCAGATCTCAATTTCGATGAACTTAATGAAGCAGTCATTTCTATAGCGGTATAGACACCAATTCGATTTGCTGTTGTTCCTATCACTAATACCTGTTCGTGCATTGCCATGCAATGAACAGGCTCTGTTGCGCCTCTAAAAATTAATGAAGGATAATTTATGTAAATTATATTTTGTATGTCTAATTTCAAATAACATTACAGGTTTTTCTTACTTCATATGAAATTTAAGTTTTCCATCTATTGCACTCCACACGGCTATAGTTTGGTCCAACGAAGAACTAACTATAGTAGTTTCGTTTATCGCTTCTAATTGCAGTATCTGTGACATTAAAAATCAATAATGAAACGGTGAATTCTTATATCAAGTCTAAAAGTCGATAAAAGTCATTAAGTCTTTACCTCACATTCATGTCCCTTCCAAGACGCAATAATTAGACCAGTGCGAGTATCGAGTATCGTCAAGAAGCCTGATGCTTGACCTAAAGCGACCCAGTTACCACTGGGCGATACTGTGATACATCTTATTAAACCAGTCGGATTCATAGAAACCTTATCATATGATTTAATACGTTAAATTTTATACGAATATTAGTAATTATAATTTCACGCAATATCGACATACATATTTCATGCTTACTTTCATTTCATTGACATACTGGAATGTTCTACAATCAATAACTCTAAGGGTAATGTCCGTTGTTCCTACAAGAAGAGTCGTGGACGGAGAAGGACTCGAGGCTAAAGTGTTCACAGGACGACTACTTTCCGGACATCCCAGAAGCGAGCCCATAAAAGGATCCCAACAATGAATCACGCCATCGCATGTCACTGCGTATCTCAAAGATTCCAAGAATGTAAGTGAAAGAATAGATTTCTTGTGTCCAGTATATGTGTATTGACACGATGAGACTGTAGTTCCATCACCCTAATTCCATTATATCAGTAAAATCATAATTCTGGATGTTATACAATGGACATTTTGTCAAATTGAATGGAATATATCTTACCTGGCTTCGTAAACTCCATAATTTCACAGTTTTGTCTCTGCCACCACTCATAAAACTGTTCTCATTGTCTAACACATAAAGACATCTCACACTATTTGTATGTCCGTTGAAAGTCTGAAGTTTTATCTGTTTTATATTAAATATCGTATCCTTCTCCGGTCTCCCTATCTCGTGCTCCCAATAGGCTAGCCAATTACCGCGTAGTTGTCTACCAACGGATGACGGACAAGTTTCGCGACTGGCAACAATCTCCGTCGCCGATTGAAATCTCGCGTCATCTTTCTGTATCTCGAATCTATTTCCTATCACAGATATATTCCCAAAGCTGCAAACACCTTTATCAACCGATTCTACATTCTCTGCTACATCACAATCCACGGAAGTATTGTACTTATCCACGTTATCTTTAACAATGAGACACAAGGATGAACATATTATTTGCGTATTATTTATAACGACTAATAACTAAGTAATATATTTTGTGGGACATCTACCGTTATTTACGGAGATTGCTTTTATCCCCTGCTCGTAATCGTGACAAAGCTCTTTTATATGCTCGTGATTTTTAAGTATATGTTCCATCATTTCAATATCGACACATCTATAAAAAAGCATGTATGATTTATGAGCAAACTCAGTATTGAATACTGCCCGTAGTTCTTCAAATGCCTGTAAGTAAAATTTAGTACATATACACATTTGCGTTCACGTTAAAAAAAATCAAACTATTAGATCTTACTTTATTTCTTTGCAAGTCTGACACGTCGCTATTTTCTACAACCGGAGGAGAATACGAATCTGCAATGTCTGCGTCAAGTTTGTTCCACGCATAAGTTTCATTATTAACAGATTCTTCATTCGCAGCTTTCATCCTGTGAAATAGTAAAAACGATAAGAATATTTCTGCATATATCTCTGCATTTCATTAACGCACAATGTATAATCAAATTGAAGTACTCGTCTCCGTATTATTACCGTACAAAATGCTCGCAGGTTGTGCCTGCTTTTTGCCCAAAATTATTCAACAGGACTCCACCATCTAAATTTTTACTGAAAGCTTTGTCAAAGGCCAGAAAGAAGCGTTGAATTGGTACTGCTAAATGATTTTTCGTGATCACGCTGCCGAGCCGTAAGCTAAGAGTGAACATCGCTTCCAAGCATTTTTCAGCTAAGGCAATGCGTGCAAGCGTTCCATTTGGAAATGTAAATCTCGCGGTTGACAGTATGCGTACTGTGGGATGCAGGATAGATTTAACAATCGGCTCCTACATTCAAATATGGACAAATAAGAGCTATTTTTTTCATTATATTATTAAAATGTATAGTTATTAATTATATGATAAACATTACATGAAGCACATCCATTAACGTAGAATCATTGAGATATGTTGTGATGTGATTTAATAGAGCCAGACAAGAAATTAGGCCTCCTTCCAAATTTTGCGTAAGCTTTCTCTTGCACAATGCTAATAGCTCAACTATATGTGCGAAATATTGCAGCAATATAATTTGTTCTCCATATAATCCTGGAAAAATAGTTCATAAACTGTTTTTACTGACGCAATTAAAATGATTCGCATATTTTCGTACGTACCTGCAATAGCTGTGAGACACTCTAAGACTTTAATAGCATTTTGATCACCGGCTAGTATCGGCTTCTTCCATGCAACACCCTCCACACGCATAAAATTATTGTCATCGGTTGGCATTAAATTTTCTTTCCCAGCGTAACATAACGTCAGCATTCTCAGAAGATTTCGCGATAAGTATCGTGCTGTGAGTACTGGGCCAAGTCTATGAGACAGCCAGATAACAGATTCCGCGCTCATCTCGGAAATTGTGCATTCACTTAGAACGGATTTTCGGTAAATATGATCCAGCTGACGTACATCTTCATCGCTTGATTTGATTACATCGCTTTTGTTATCAAGATCCGCAGAAAGCATAGCAGGATTGTCTTCCTTAATATCTATATTGCACATATTTTCTGAGAGATTACTATCGGAATGGATATTCGTGGCGTATGGATTAACATAAGTAAAATCTTCGCTGGAAGTTTTACTGCCAACGTTGCAACCGATACTATTAAACTCGGTTACCAATTTAGCTCCACTGATATTTGATTGTTTAGGTATCGGAATCGTTGGCGATTTAACGGAGCTACCCGGCGAATTTTTGTTTCCATCGTCATTCAAATCATCGCAGGCATTCAAGTTGAGATCTATATGTAAGTCGATATCGTATGGCGCGGTATTATTTAATGAAATCCACGAATTATTCTCCGTCTCCATGGCAAATACTTCTGTAATACGTCCAATAAAAATTATCAGATAATTTTTCTCAGAGATAAGGGAGACCGGGACTATTCGTGACACTGCTAAAATTTTGTCGCGGGCCTAACTTTAAAATGCTTGCTGTTAGAAACCTGTAATATCAATCACAGATGTCTCTTTAGTGTCCTCTAGGTACCAACGGAATGGCATTTGCGTGTCAATCATTTTTCTCTCTCAGTGACAAAAAGTCTGATTTCAAGTGCTCAAAGTAAAAATTTTCAAATCCCGAAAATGTTTTCTCGCCGAATAAAATAATAAGAGATCCGAAACGGTAAGTTATATTCAGTCACTCGACTTCACTAAGCATAATGCATGAGTAGATTTTATGGTATTCTTTCTTATCTATAAGTCACGGATCATGAATGAGGAAAAACCACCCCGGGGCATTTTGTGACACGAGCAATCGGGGCAACCAAAAAAACCACAAATAAGCGTTCAAAGGAAGAACCAGTAACAGGGGCCATGGACGCCTTCGAGAAGTGGTTCCCCGTAATCGAATGTGAGCGATGAGGGCGATTAATGGAACAGGCGTTACTTTTTTCCTCATAATTTTTTATACATATAATATGTAAATTCTGACAAAGGCTTTTTCAAAGTATAAAGTAGATAAAAATTGCAAAAACGAAAAAAATCCATATAGTTTGTTCAATCAGAGAAAGTGTTATGCATTACTCCATGGCCTGTCACGAATTACCCCGGGGCCGGGGTAATTCGTGACACATGACACAGCGATACATTTCTTGATATATTTCGAGACTCGTGAGAGAAAAACCTTTTTTTTTTTAAACTAGAGAGATGAACGATTACATCGCACTAATAAACATTTTTTAAACATTTATACGAAACGAGAAAAAAAATTCGAAACAAAAATATGTCACGAATAGCCCCAGTCTTCCCTACTTATTAAATCATTAACGACTTATTTAGCCAATCACCTTCGACATTGTTCTCTGTTGTTACATTAGACATGTGATCGTTGATCGTTGGTACAGAAAATACAGCGACATTGTGTTCGGTGTCTGCAAATGAATCTTCATCTAATGGAGATAAAATACCTTCTCCCTCACTGCAAGGTCCACTTAAGTCGCAGCTCCTTCATAGAAATTTATAAGCAATATGGAGTAATATGATATGTGAAACTACATTAAAATCATAATAAAATACAATTAATAAATTAAGGAGGTTCTACAAATAATGGATGTATCTAAAAATTGAAAAAAACTTCATGGACGTATAAATTGAGATGCAAGAAAAGTGCTCGAAAAATTTTAGCATCGGTTATCGTGTAAAAATTTGCAAAAATGAATTTTGAAATCACAGTTTTTAACATGAGCTACATATGGCCGAGGGGCTCTTGGAGACAGGAAACGAGATACTAATTATATAAAGACGACCTACCAGATTCCAAAAACGGAGCTCTTATAGATCTTAATCTAAGCTTTTCAGAAATATCGAGAAAAACAAGGGTTATCGCGTAAAATTTTGTGATATTGGCTATTGAAACAGGCCATATCACAGTTCACGTAGCGTGCTTCGAATAACAAGGGAGATTTGGCAATGTCGCAGCGACTGCACCCGCACAAAGTGTACAGCCAGTACAGCACCACAGTATGACAGCACCTCAAACTTAAGCACCTAACGTTTACGAGCGCTTACGGAGAAGTACTCGCTCTAGAATTGTGAAATTGTGAAATAACCACGGTCATGTGAGCAGAACTGTCAAGTTCGCGACGTTACCACACTTTCTTCCATGTATAAGCCGCCAGAGTCAAGGAGCACTTACGAGCGTGTAAATGATATTTTTAATTATTCCTCGCTTCGACTAATATGGGTATGATATAAGCTCTAAGGTCATCAAAATTCACGAAAATATTTTATGAATA